ACTAGGGCCCACCTTTGCCCTGCAGGGTGCCAGGGAGGCAGCCTCCACAGGCAGGGAGCAGACATGCAGGCCCTGCAACACACTCTGCCTGTTGCTCAGCTGGCCACCATCTTTGAGAGCAGCCATATAAGAATCCAATATAAGAAAGATATAAAGCTATAAGAGAGCATCCAAAGGAGGGCTACAATAACGGTTAAGGGCCTAGAGGGTAAGCCTTATGAGGAGTGGTTGAGGTCACTTGGTCTGTTTAGCCTGGAGAAGAGGAGGCTCAGGGGAGACCTCCTTGCAGTCTACAACTTCCACATGAGGGGAAGAGGAGGGTCAGGCACTGATCTCTTCTCTGTGGTGACAAGTGATAGGACCAGAGGGAATGGCATGAAGTTGTGTCAGGGGAGGCTTAGGCTGGATATTAGGAAACAGTGGTTGGGCACTGGAACAGGCTTCTCAGAGAAGCAGACACAGCACCAAGGTTGCCAGAGTTCAAGAAGTGCTTGGACAATACCCTCAAGCATGTGGTATGATTCTTAGGGTTGTCCTGTGCAGGACAGGAGTCAGACTTCCAACTCAGGTTATTCTATGATGCTGTGATTACTACAAGCACTGCAACTGCAGCATAACAACTATTTCCAAAGGGACTGGGGTAAAAGGGAGGGCAGGGAGAGATCAAAATGTAACTACTGGTAGAGCTGGGCAGCTGAGGCAAGATTGGCTTTGGTGAGCGTAAATCAGGGGAGCAGGGGACTCTCTCCAGACATCACCTACACCAACAATATGGGGCATTGGACACACCCCTGCCCCCATCTACCTGGCTGTAGTTTACCATTGCACCTCAAGGTCAGAGAGAAAGGAGAAAAGCAAAAGGCAAACAACAATAAGTCTAAACAGATCTATTTATTCAACTTTTGCTATTGCTTCATGACAAGGAAAGATCCAGAAACATGGAGACCTCAGAGCTGGCAGAGCCACATACAGGAGATGAGAAGCGGCAGCTGGCAGAACCACAGGAGCACCTTCCTCCCACAGCTCCCCTCTGCCTGGGTGCGAGCAGCCCATGACCAAGCAAGAAGGTCCTTCACAGCCAGAGGAGGAGGGTGCTGAGCAGGTCTCTGAGCCTTAGAGAAGGTCCTGGACTTCCTGAAATGCAAAGAAAAGCCTCCCCCTCTCACTGCCTCAGCTCCCCCATCCCTGCGCAGGAGCTACCTGCAGCCACCCGCTGAGGCTTGTCAGGCCCTTCCCCATGTTCAAGCTGGCGGAAAGAAGGAAGGAAGAATGGATAGAATAAGAGACTCCTACCTCCCCTTGCTCCCTCACCCCAGCCTTTTCCCTGCTCTACTCAGACACGAAAAGCCATGGCTCTCCTGCACATCCTACAACAGAAACACAAGGAGCTTTTCCCCGCCTCTCAATCCACCACCCTCCAGGCTCCGGCAGGGATTGCATGGAAATGGCGATACTCCTGTATCGTCTGGATCATCAGCACAGTTAAGCTCAAAGAGGGCAAGAGAGGATGGCACAGGAGGATGAAGCAGGAAGCCTTTGTTTCGTCCTGGCTCCAGTGCAGCCCATCCCCTCTTTCGATCGCAATGCCCTCTAGCTCGGACATGCAAGGAGGCGTTGGAAAGGGAAGGGATCTGGGATGCTTATGAATTTTGTTTCCCCCATCAGGGGGACAGCTCACTCCCCCGAGCATGCCTGGCTCTGACGGAGCTCCCTGGAGTAACCTTTATTCCAGTGTGTCGCAAGCATGTATTTCACGGATGGTTACACTGAATCATTATCACCAGACGTTCATTTGACCAAAATAATGTTATTAGCATCGTCAGGTCCATTTCCCCCCACACAATTCCTCCCTTCCCAGTACACATACACTCCCTCCAACCCCCAGGCCCCTGCCATCCACATAGGGCACACCCCTCCTCAGCACAAAATCTCATGATGTGTGACACAATGACCAGGAAAAGAGAACGGCGAGAGGGGCTGGCGAAATGGATGGACGTGCCTTTGGCATTTACTGCGTTCCTTACCCTCTGCCAATTTTTATCAGCCACACACACACACAAAGCCGTACACTCAAAAATCGGAATTATATCACAAGCTATCCAAGGTACATGACCATGGGTGTATGAGTGTGCCCAAGCTGCGGTCACAGTCCTATCGGGAACCCAAATCTGTGTGGCATGAAGCAAAGGTCATCGTGCCACTGTTGTGATGCATTAAAAAAAAAAGCCGCAGAGCCATCAGGATGTAACACAGAATTTTCTCGTCAAGGGATGAGAAACCTTCGGGGGGGTGGGGGCTGGGAGGAGGAAAGCGGGTGTGCGGATGGGGGGGGATGGGGGGAAATAGCAGAAAATGGGGAGGAAAATGAAGAATACAAAGCTCCACTTCGCTAATCCAAGATAGACAATCCATCCCTTCCCCCCTCTCTACACCCTCCCTCCCCCCGAAATGTTGGTGCAGATGGATTTCTGTATCTTGGTTTTGCAGCAGTGGGTCTAATGACTCCCATACCAAACCCCTTCGCTATGATAACCCCTCCCACTATTTTTTTTTTTTTTTAGACCGGGCTGAAGAATAATGTGTTTTTAGAGATAATGGGTTTTATAAAAAGAAAAGAAAAAGGGACGCAGCGCAGACATTATGCGAATAAGCTGTTCCCCGCATCACCCCCATCTTCTCTCAACCACACATTCCGATTTCATCCCCTCCCGTCATTCTCCAGCTTTCCCCATCAGCTCCCCCAAGGAAAGGAAAAAAACGCACAACGCGATCTGGGTAGCCGATCTCAAAATCCCAAGCACTAATCTGCTTGAATTTGTTCTCCCCCTTATATAAGCAGCAGCACGTCAACATGTTCAGTGGAAACGCAGCGTAAAATGAGGCCAGGCTACAGCCATGGAACAGGGGTGATATCGGCAGATATCGCTTCTATCGAGAAGCCATCACCACCAGGTTGGTGAAATCAAGTATTGGGCTTCCAGCCGTTCCCTTACTTTATTTATTTATTTTTCAACGCTTAGTCTAATTTTACTTTGTTTCATTTTGGTTTCGCTCTACTTCATTTTTTAAAGGACAAAAGTGAAATAAATAATTAAAAGACTAGAGACATACCCCACCAGAAGGTGCCCGAATGCTCCAGAAAGAGAATCCTCACCTCCTAACTCTGGGTTTGTTGTTTGTGTTTTTTTAATAAATAAATACAGTCCTGTTGCTCACATTATCCCCAAACTTCCAGTGTCTCTAGCTGCACCTCCCTACTCCCAAAAATGAGATACTTAGTTAGAGAGTCACGAACATTTAAAAAAGTGTCAAATACCAAAAAGATGCCAATAGAGAAATGGAAAATTATGTCTATACAATAATCTAGTTCATTCAGCTGATAAAGTGCGTTCAGTCGCAAAACCGTGAGCAATAATCTCTGCAACCTCCTCCCCCCAAAATACTACCAACCTTTAGATAAACTTGCCCAACTTAACACTGATGACCATTTTAACTGAAATCAGTGACAGACGTAACACCATTCTGGTTAACGTTACAATTAATAACTGACTGTATAATCACGGCAAACAGAACCTTTTGTGATCAAATTTTCTCCCACCTACTCAACATCTCTCTTAGACTTTTCACCAATTTAGTTAAGAGTTCGTCCCCTCAAAAAATGCCCCTCAAAATATGCAATAAGCAGGTATTGGTGAGCGGTCATTTCAATATTCACCTTTTTAGGAGGGCTGTGTGCTTATCTCAGAACAATTGCAGGCAGTAAAAAATACAGGTGGGACAAATAATATTTAGTAAAAACAAAAATAATTTGTTAAAACTATTTGCAACAAAGCGTTGAGCAGTTTGACCACAAAAAGGTGGAAAAAGAGCTTGAAAAAACAGAAAGCTGCAAGTATCCTTTTACAAACGATTCAATGTTTCTATCCCCAGTTTTGCCTCCCCAGTTCTTTGGTTTTTCTGCCGCTGACCTCATGTCTAATCATTTTTATTGTTTTCTTTTGGGGTGGGGGAGAGAAATCAGGAAAAAAATTGAAATAGAAAGTGCTCAATTTCAGCAAAATGTATTCTTAAAGAGCACTGTTAAATATGTTACTTCCTAGCTACATTAGATTGCCATTAAAATAAATTTAAGAGTAAGCAAAAGACAAGTCACCTGCAAAGCACCAGAGTCGCTGCCCTTAGGTAGGAGAATTACATCACTCCCTGACTGAATGATGTTTTCTTTTAAATTATAAAGCCGGCGGATTTTATTTATTTTTTTACGGAAAAAAAAATTAGAAAAAAAGCCCAACACAGCGGTTATTTCACATACATTTTGCACGAAGAAAGCATTGAACCAACCTTTAAGGTCACTGACTGTCTGAAAACCCACAGCAGTCACTCACGGTGGAAGTTTTCAGGCAAGACGGCTACTAAATCATTAATACAAACAAATGGAAGGCGGGGAGGAAAGGCACTACCGTAATAGATCCGAAGACTTGGAAGAGGAAAAAAATATTAAAGAAAAAAACTTTCATCTTCAGCCTGTCTTCTTTCCTCGTTAGAATTTTTTTTTAACAACAAATCCTTAAGATTTAGTCAAACAGCAGGCTCACTCTAAGGGTCTCCCTGCTGTAGCTCAGCGTAGTGTCTTCTTTTTCGAGAAAACCCCCCCCGCCCAGTGTTCCACTCCAAAAAGCCCCGTCGTGGGAACTGCAATTTCCCAAAAAGTCGGGCCAAAGGAGCTGGAGCGTCCCGGGGGCTCGGCGCGTGCCCACTCCGCCGGGCGGGCAGCGCCCAGCGCCGCCGGGGCAGCGGGAGCGGGAAGCGAGGGAAAACGATCCCAAATAGTTGCCGTGAGAAGGGTCAGAGAAACCCACCCGCGGAGCGCCGGAGCGGCGGCGCCCAGCGCTCGCCGGGCGGGCAGCTCCCTCCGAGCCGTGCCAAGCCGAGCCGTGCCAAGCCAAGCCGAGTAGAGCCGAGCCGAGCCGAGCCGCCCCCCGCCCGCCGCCCCCTCTCACCTCCGCAGCCGGGCGGGCGCCGGCCGCCGCGCCAACTCGCGGCTCGCCTGCGCTGCGGGGCAGGGGGCTCCAGCGTGGCCCCAGCCGCGGAGGCTGCGGGGGTCCCGGCGAGGCTGGGCTGGGCTGGGCTGGGCTGGCCGTGCCGAGCCGAGCCGTGAGAGCCGCGGGCGGAGCTGCGCAGGGCTGAGCGCGCCGCGGTGCCGGAGCAGCCCGAACCCCGCACACGCCGCCGCCACCGCCCCCTGCGCCGCGCCCGCCCGCCCGGCCACGGCTTTTAAAGAGACCGCGGGTCCGCGCCCCGGCATCCGGCACGGTCCGCACGGCCCCGGCAGCGGGCACGGCCCCGGGCTCGGGCAGCAGCGCTCCGCCGGGCTTCGCTTCCCATGCTCCCGCCGCCTCCGCCCAGCAAAGAAGTCGGCGGATTTTCTGCTGCCTTCGGCCCGCCAGCGTCCCGTTCCCCGTGCGCTCCCTCACCGGGGCGGCACGGCAAGGGGGGATTTGTGCCCCTCTGGTCTCAGCAAGGCGAAGGAGGGAAGATGCAGCTTTTTTTTTAACTTCTTAAGTTTGCCACCAGGGACCTGCCATCAGAGCAGGAGGAGGTAACGTCTTCCTCAGACGATGTGTCCCCCAGAAAACCCTTTAAGTTCACAAAGATTTTTCCCTTGTAGCTCTACCTGCTGGGTATTTCAAGTCAGTTTATACACTGCCCATTTCACTTAAGCTAGCCACTAAGTTTCTTGTTACCTTGCACAAATCTCTCAAACTTTTTATCCATTCATATGCTCACTTGTAAAAGTAGAGCCAACAGCACTGACAGCCACCATCAACTGTGTTTGGGTCAGTATTTCATTCAGACTGGACATCCTAGAAATTGTTATTTATGGTTGTATCACCACTAGCACTTAGCACAGTAAACATACTGTGGGGAACACGCATGTGAAGTTTTTTAATAGGTTATCATGCTGAAAGTCCACCTCAGAGAAGACTGGTGGGCACGAACATTACGCACATGAAGTTCACACAGAACTAAAAGTGAGAAATCAAACCTTCTGGCCCCTCTCTCTAGACCCTATGATCTTGTAAAATTTGTGTACGCTGTTCATACTACACCACCAGACACTTAGAAATGCATTTGCATTGGGGACAGACGGGAAAGTTATTTGTCTTTCCTTATACTTCTGATCATGTATCCAAAGGTTTTTTTCTTTTTCTACGTTTTGCATAGCAGCCAGCCTATCCACAGTACTCGATAAATAATAAATAATTATTATTTTATACAGTGTGTATTGATCACCTTGCTGACTATCGAAATGCAGCTGTGTCTGAGGTGGATAATAGCTACACAGAAACACTAAATAATAGTTACAAGTAGTGTTAGGAGTCCCCTGGGAAGTTTCTATGGAAAATACAGTCCTTCACACCCCCTAACTAATTCAGATACATGCACACAGAGGATAATGGAGACCTATTTCAACAGGGTGACAATTGGACAGAAAAGAGGCATCTTCCTCACTCAAAATCAGCATCCCAAGAGCAAGATTTTATCCCTTCAGATGTTTGTGCAAAGGCAGGTTATTGTTAAGCTTCCTGTTTTATATGGACAACACAGCAGCAGTAAGAACTACCTTTCCCTCCTCAGGGCATGGGATTAGATCCTGGTCTCAATTACTGTGAAGAAAATCAGGTATTACTTCATTTACTGCAATAGTTAAATCCAGATTTAAAAAGTGCAGCTGGTAATAAAATTTGTCTTCTAGTACCTTTTTCCCCTTACTGATAGTTCTGGCAATCTAGCATTTTGTAGCTTGCAGTTTATCGAAGTAATGATTTGATGAGGCAGTCATCTGAAACTGCACCCTCTCTGGCCCTGCCCTCTCCAAGGTCTTCTAAGACCACACATGCACATACTTGCATCATATGTTTATCTGTCTGCCTATCAACAGAGTATCTTCTGTGTAAAATCAATGACAAGAGCACAGACTCCACTTCCAGTTCCAAACTAAACCTCTTCAGTTTAATAGACAGAAAACTGCATGTCCCCTGAAATCAAACACAAAGTAGCAGCTTTTAGCCAGCTTTATCACCAAGGGTAAAGTGAGCCCAACAAGATTTGGGGAAAATAAGCTGGTTTTCATCCACACACTATCCTTTCAACTGGAAAAAGAAAACCTAGCACCCCCATATATGAAATGCCTACAAATGAGAAAGAGGGGTAGAAGACTTCACCTGAGAAGCTTCTATTCAGAGTGCTATATATGAACATAAATATATGAAGATAACAACTACTTTAAAAAAATCTTACTGTGCCTAACTCAGACACATAGATTGCTACTTCTGAAAAACTGTTACCTTTAGGCACCAAAATAGCAGACATCATTGTATAAATAGACAGAGAGTAGTGAGAAAATATTAGAAGAGCAGTGAAGTTTCCTTAAGGTTGCAAGGCACATCTTTTCTGGGGTGCAGAGCAAAACAGAGACAAAAGGAAAGCAATGGGGTACAAGATCTCTGCTGAGCAAGCAATGCTCTAATTGCTCAATTGGGGAGTAGATTTTTCTGACTAATTCCTCTAATTCTTCACATCTCTAGCTTTGGCCATGCACTTTGCAAATAAGATGTATGGAGAGGAAGTAAAAATATGATTACCAGAGTGAGGTTTGTATCAGCCCCCTCTAATACTGCTCCTCTCACCAGTATTTGCCACTAGAATCCTGACTTTTCAAAATGTATGCTCTAGATAAAGTGTTTTGTCCCCATCTATAAGATGATAAGTAGATACATCAGACTTCTTTGGTATCTTCAATAAGAAAATACCTGCTCTCTTTCTAAGGGGTCTTAAAAATTAGCAACGGCAGATTTATACACCTGGGCACCTGGCCATTCCCTCCCAACACCACCAAACAGAAGAGGCAAAGGAAAAAATACAAGAGTTATGGAAACGTTATTCATCTTCTTTTGCTTGTTCCCTTTAGAATAAATTTCCAAAACTTTTTACCAAGCCAATGTGCTTGTTATAACGAAAGAGACAAAGTGCTGTCAATAAACTGGGGCAATTCAGTCTGTGCACTTTTCAATAAATTGCTACATGGGCCTGCTCATACTCAAGGTATTTAATCGGCTCTGAGATCTGGGCTTGTTAATTCAGGGCAGCAGCTGTAGTAGCTACAAGACATAGCTTTTGCTTACATCTTGCTAGAAGAATGAGCTGGCTCACAGAAGTTACCTATTTCCCTGATGCAGTAGAAACTGCATGTACCATTATCATAAGTTCCTGGTGTGTTACCCTATCCCTTTCCAGTTAAGCAGGGGTGATGAGAGAGGGGGATCAGAGCCTAGAAAAGACTCTGGAAACAGAATAGGCAGGAGTTAGAGGTACTATCCATCATGCCAGGATGTCCAAATGCTGCAAGACAAGATCTAGAAGATTCAATGAAAACTAATGCCTTGAGTATGACGGCAGGAGATAGGAAGAGAGGCTGCACTGCAATACTGTCTCATAGAGTATAATATTCGGGGTTTTTTCCTTAGGTTCTCTGAAGGGCATTCACCAAACCTTTGAAATTAAGCATTTGTATGGAACTGTTTAATGGAAATGAGACTCAAGGGGAATTTGCCATTGAAACAGTGGTAGGGAAGTCTTTGCAACATCACAAGAATGCAACTTATCTCTCTGGCTATTTTATATTTATATCTATATGTGTGTGTATATATATATATGCCATGTTAGCATTTTCAGTGTCTTTTTGCCCAGAAGTTAATACCCAAGGTGAATTTAGAAGCTACAGTCCAAACTATGATCAGATCTTCTTGGTTGTGCCAAATGAAGCTGATCTTATCTCACTGGTGACCTTATCCTACTTGAGAGAGCAAAACTCATCACAATAATAAGAAATAACAGAGACAGGGGGAAAGCAATCATGACGGCACCCAGTCAGAACTTCTTTTACCATCATTTCAGAGAATTAGTTCTAAGCTCTTCTCCTGCAAACATCATTTTTCACTCCAGCCAGAGGTTCAACCTCCAAAGTTATTCTGACCACTTGCAGAACATACCCATTTATCCTTGATTCACAGGCTTTTTCTTCCTCCTAGCATGTTCTGTTGCATTTATTTAATAGAAACTCTACACAGTGTATACAGGAAGCAATTTTCTGAGCACAACTTTGCTTAACCAAGTGTACAGGGAACAGAAACTAAGCAGACACACCTTTGAGTGTGTGGAAGCATATGAATGAACACACCACCAAAAAAACTTGATGTGTTTACACAGGAATGTCTATGAAAGGATTCCTTGTAGGAAGAGTGTGTAAGAGAGTTTAAGTACGAGTGGTGTGCATGCAAATGCTGCAGGAGCACATTCAGAGCAAGGCATGTAGGGAAAAGAAGCATGTTTCATTGCATCAACTAACATTTTGGGGGGAAAAAATTATGCAGTCTCTTCTCCCAAGTCTCATACACTCTTTTCCACCATCTTTAAGAGCATCATTGTGAGAGGATGCATTGTACGTGTGTATTTATACTTTGGAATATGTAACCATAACAACAACAGGTTAGACAGATGTGTGTGCACACTTGATTGTGCAAGGGAAGAAAAAATAGAAGCTGTACATTCTTTCAGCCAGCAATATAAAATTTAATGGCTGTCATACTGGCTTTATGACCTCCACCACCAGATATTAGACACCACCTCATTCTAAGACAGAAAGACATCCATTGCTATCTCCTGTTGTCAGCTAGTTACCTGTGACCCCGACTCAGTGCTGGCCCAAAAGGAAGAGAACCAATTCCTCAAGCAGCAGGTAGCATCCAGTGAAATGGCCATAACCAAAGCCACAGTTCAGAGTTAAAGCACAACCTTCCAACAGGTATTTCCACCAGTTCTGAACTCTATCCTTTCTTGTTTCTTGAGTCTTATAACTCCATGGGATCACTCCAGTTTCCAAGATGTCATCAACCTACCACCACCACCCTCCAGAGTAACACTTACTAACTCCTCCACTTGAACTCTGCCTCCCCTCCTTGTTTCTGAATCCTCAGATGGAGCCACCAATGACATCACAGTGTGCTTCCCTGGCAACAAATATGTCGTACCTGCTTGTCCGTCAATAGTGTTG